TATATATATATATATATATATATATATATATATATATATATATATATATATATATATATATATTATCTGTTTAAAACCGCATATAGTAAAAAATTTTCATTCCATTTTAAAGTCTTAAATTTCAACAGTGTTATAACTTTATTTGAATATTATGAGTCTTATAAGAACTACGATATGATAATTTTGATCACAATACCTTTTTCCAATATTTACAAACATCATATTTTCAACCCAACCTCTTGTGCTTTTCCATTCATGAAAATTTTAATTGCACTGCAACCGCTACTCCTTTGTAAATTACAAGCAACTAATTAGCAAGATAATACTGTTCTTATTATATATAATTATTTTATTGATGTATATATTATCTGTTTGATAGCACATAATAAAAGATTTTCATTCTGTTCTGGATATCGATCATGTGCACACAGAAAAAAAGAATATTCTTGTCTTGAAAATATCTTTATTTTTTACATGTAAATCTTAAAATAAGATCACATAATTAAACAAAGATAAATGTATTAATATATTTCATATAATTCAACAAAGAAAAATATATTCTTATTATTAAAAAATAATTTTCATGAATGGAAAAGCCCAAGATATTGGATTGAAAATATGATGTTTATAAATATCGGACAAAGATATTGTCATCAAAATAATCATATCGTGGTTTTTATAAGATTATCATAATATTCAAATAAAGTTATAACATTATTGAAATTTAAAGCTTTAAAATCCTTTTAACAAAATTATGATATATAATTGTCTGTATGAATCTGTATGAAAATTTAAATAAAAGCAACATTTGTTGCATATTTCTACAAAATAAAAAAGTTCATTGAATATTTCTAACGCAAAAGGAAATGACGAGGAAATTCATTTCGACTAATACATACAACGTGATTTTCCATTACTGCATATTATTATTTTTCGAAGCAACACGTTTTTTTTATTGTTTTGGACGAAAATTTAAATGCCACGCGATATTTATTTCGTATTTCAATGAAGTACAAAAGTCTATCGAATAACATTTCCTCCGCGAAAGAAAACGGCGATAATCAAGCAACTGTTCATATCAATCGACACAATGCGAAAAGTTAACGAATCTGTGCGAGAAACAAATGAAGAGAAACATGGAGACCGATGATCGAGAAACCCACGAGTGACCGTAAAATTGAATTAAAGAGATGCTCGCCACTTTCGCTCGTCTCAATTGTATCAGAGACTGAAGCAGCGGGCGAAACAATTAAAGACTAGCGTGGATCACACAAGCTAGCGCGATAACATAATTCGACGGCGTTGCTGGATCGATAATGGCCGTGTTAAGACTTGGTGCATGGTCAAAACTCGCTCGAGAGAATTCCCGTTGCCACGTGCGAGAGATTCGTTGTCTCATATCCGAGCGGATCATAACACTTACCTCGATATCGTTCATTTTAAGATTCCTTGGGTGTTAATATGTGGAAAAAGATGGCAAGGAGCTACGAACAACGTACTCGAGGATCTCACGATTCGTGTTGTTGGTTGTATGGTATGTTGTACAATATGGCGTACTATTCGGAAACGCCGGGCGCGTGAATAGTAGTATACAGTACGTGGTACACAATGAACACTGCGATATTCGATGTTGCGACTTCCCATTCGTCGTGCTCGTTGGAGGGAGTGTCCCGATTGACCACGGTACGATTGGACACAATCAACCGATGCACACAGGTGGTAATGCTTGCCGCGCGGCGGAAGTCCGCGCGACAGCCAATCAATATGTTGTTTTTCCTTAAGAGCTAGAAGGTTATTACGGAAAGCAGCATATAGATTGGCTGTCGCGCGAACTTCCGCCGTGCGGCAAGCATTACCGTGTCCTGTGTGCAGGAGCCATAAGGCTGCGTTCCGAAATTTATTGCCAGTGCTGAAATTCTATAGTATACGTTACATGAACTATAGATTTTTAGTAGTGGCAGTGAATTTCAGAAATAAGCAGCCTAAATGTGGAACAAAAATAGAGGGTGCTTTCCAATTTCTTAACACATCTTGACACACACGTACACAAAACCAGTTTATTGGTCACATATTATCTAAAATATCTTATAAGATAATGGGTGATAATATGGGTAAGATAATATGTGACCAATAAACTGATTTTATGTACGTGTGTGTCAAGATATGTTAAGCAATTGGAAAGCATCCAATATGGATATTTTCCAATTGCTTAATATACTTGACACACACGTACACAAAATCAGTTTATTGGTCATATATTATCTAAAATATCTTGTAAGATAATATACAAATAAACTAGTTTTGTGTAACACATTGGGTGTTTACGATAATTCGAGTTGGAGTTAGTACGAATTAGTTTCACTAGGGCTGAAAAATATGATAGTCACAAGCATCTAGTATTTTCATGATTCATGACAACTCAATGCTGTCCGATAAATCGAGTAGAGTAGAGTAGAGTTAGGGTAGTATAGCGGATAGTATATGTATAAGAATTAACAGTATCAGATAACATAGTTTCGTAAAATATGTAACAATAATATTACAAAACAATTATTTATTATATTTTAGAAAAATTAGAAGCACTAAATTAAATTATGAAAATGATATTAATTTAATGTATTTGTGAAATATTCAATAATAATAGGTTAGAATAATTGTTTTCTACTTTTGGATATTTCACAAATACATGATACCTTTTCATAATTTAATTTAGTGCTTCTAATTTTTCTAAAATATAATAAATAATTGTTTTGTAATATTATTGTTACATATTTTACGAAACTATGTTATCTGATACTGTTAATTCTTATACATATACTATCCGCTATACTACCCTAACTCTACTCTACTCTACTCGATTTATCGGACAGCATTGAGTTGTCATAAATCTTGAAAATACTAGATGCTTGTGCCTATCATATTTCTCGGCCCTAGTGAAACTAACTCGTACTTAATCCAACTCGAATTATCGTAAACAGCCAGTGTACGCAACTGGAAAGTACCTAAAATGATGTTTATGTCGACTTGAGTCTCTTGTTGGAAAGCAACTATAGTGTAGATATTTTCCTTGGTACCAACATTATCCCCTCCACTTTTCGGGAAACTGTAACCTAACCCAATGGCGGCGCTCCTGTCGACCGAATTTCACTCGATTTTCCTTTCAGTTACGTTGGTATCGTGATGCTTGCGTGAGAAGAAGCGGAGGGAGAGATGTTCGACGGGAATGGCGACTTCTGTGCTGTGCTGTGCTGTTCGTTAGAATTTGGATAAGAGAGACAAAAATACGTGTTATACGCGAATTGTACGGTATGCGACGACTGATACTAGGTAAAGTAGTGTCGAACATGTCCACGATGTGATATTCAGATCGTTGATCGGAAGATACTTTACTGCCGTCGTATTGCTTCAGGCTCAGGTAAGTCATGATGAAATATCACTGTGCGATCTATTTCTCGGCGTGATCTTTTCACAAAATAAAAATAACTCGGCGTAATTTGCCTTTGATGGCTTATACATTGTTCATGCGCGTGTCTAGCTTTTATCGAAATACGTGCTTGGCCTCGTATGTTTTTGCGTACTTTGCGACATACCGCGTATACGATGTCCTGATTTTTCCGAGTGAACATTATGTGTATATAACACAGTAACGGTTTACGATTACACAGTAGTATATTTGGTACGAGCGATAATACCTCTTGTTGGTCACATTGATTCAAGGCGAGTATGAAGGAAAGATACATACATCCACCAACTTCGATGTGATTACGTATTTTAATACTTATAATTCAGAGATAAGAGATAAAATCGTTTATCTCTATCGTCAAAGTAATTAATTCGAAGTTACAACTCTTGTAAGGTTAGATCAGATATTTGTCGTGCTCACACATTTTATGATATTATTCATCTCTCCTTATTGTGTTTTATGTAATAAGTATATTGAGGTAATGTTAATATTGGTAAGACAATAATAACGTTGTGTAGAAAAGTAATGGAATATAATTCAGCCATCTTTATAGGTAAAGATGTCGTCTGAATATAGTCGAAATGTTTTAAAAATAGTTGTTGCCTCAATATGCCAGACAATTGGATGGCATTCTATCAATTCTACACCACTGGAGTTCATGGTAGATCTTTTACAAGAGTATCTATTACGTATCTCAAGGCTCACGCATCAATATTCAGAAATTTGTAAGTGACTGTTATATTCTTATATGGTCGATGATTACTTCTGAACTCTCTTTGCGTTTTTATGATTATTTTATATCCCTGACATTATCATCTTTTACAGTGGGAAGAACGGAACCAAATCTCGATGACTTAGGATTAGCATTTCGATACATGAATATTGACATACAGGAATTAGCTGAGTATGTGAAGAACGTAGATTCTGTTCCATGTCCCATACAAGTGCCACAGTATCCGGTTCGGCGTGAGAATCACTTGAATTTTTTAAAACCGGGCAGTCGCGAAGTTGTTACTAGACCAGTTTATATACATGAACATTTACCAGCTATGTATCCAATTGCTGAAGGTAATATTAACTATACTGCCTCTATACTTATCTATCTATCGTGCTATCGCAACAACATACACAGTTATATCTGCTAGCTGACATCTTAACGACAATATATGATAATTGCAGAGGAGTATGTAGCAGAAAAAAGTGAAAGCTTAACTAATGGCACAGCCGACCTTACTCCCAGTAGCGGAACGTCGTCGAGCAACTCAAACAATACTTCACCTCACAGGTTGTCACCACAGGGGATTTTTAAGCGACCCGGGGACCCGATATCTTTCGAAAGTTCCGTAATAAAACGGGCGAAAGTTGTGGAGGAGGGTAGACCGTTGCGCGAAATAAGCAGCGTTATGATGACAACCTCCGGCTTCCTGTCGCCAGCGCGAGAAGGGAAACTACCTGAGGCGAGAACGCCGCACCAGGTTCAAACGGAGGCACCGCAGCCGAACTCCTACCCGATGGTGCCGCCCGAGGTAAAATGCGAGAAGAAACCGAAGAAAATCGTGAAGAAGAACCCGGAAGATCGTAAGCTCGACAAGGAAAACAAGAAAAAGAAAGGCGTCAAGGAGCTGTTCAAGCCGGACAAGATTGATGACAGTAAGATCAAGAAATTGGTTGGCATGAAGGAACTGGCCAAGTTGAAGCCGTTGAAGCCAGGGGGTGGCAAGACACAGTCGGCCGCGCTCTCGCAAGAGCTCTCGGGTAGCAGGCCGTCTACGCCGAAAATCGCGTCACCAAAGTCAGCCGGCAGTCCTAAGCCGCCCAAGGCCGCGCAACCGAAAGCCAAGGTGGCCGAGAAGGTGATAGATTTGACGGAGAGTGCGCCGTCTATCGAGAAGAAGGAGGAGACCGTTGACAAACTACCGTCCGAGCCGGACAAGCAGAAGTTGAACATATTCAAGAAGATATCGAAACCGCGTGAGGAGAAGGAGAAGGACAAGGACAAGGAGACGGCGGAACCGCTGCATAAATTCAAGGACCTCGACTCGCGCGAATGTTCACCGGCGTTGATAATCGATGAGATCAACAACGAGAAGCAACACGCTGCGCACCGTAACGACATCGTGGATGTGAAACGCAGCGAGGAAAAGAAAGCGCCGCATACACCGGACTTGCACGTGCAACCGACCGACGGGGATTTGATGGATGTACAGAGCCCGCCGTCGGACGTTTATATGTTCGACGACACCGACATTTCGCCGCCGGGTACGCCCAGCAGCACGCCGAAAACTCCTGAACTGAATGTGCCCGCTGTTGTGGAGCAGAAACGAAAGAAAAAGGAAAAGAGTGGCAAAAAGAAAGAGCCGAAGTTGAAGAGTCCAAAACAGTGCATCAGCCCGAAGAAGGTGAGACACTTGATATGTTATCAGACTATGAATACCGTAAATATCATCTGCTTGAGAATTGCTGACTGAAGAGCCCGTGTCGCATCGTCTTTCATATAACCGTATAAAATATCGACTTTCACTACTATATACACTTCTTTCTTTTTTCTCTCTTTTTCTAGATGAAGCTTCCGAATGACATTGTAGAGTCGGACGTTCTAGATCGACCGAAAACTCCGCAGGCACCGGAACCACCGTTGCATAGAGAGCCTAGTCTCCCGCCCACACTTCCCTTCCCCTTCTTCCCGGCGTTTCCTCCAGCACCTGGTTTAATACCTTCTCCGATGTTCCCGCGGTTCCCACTACCTCTAGGTCGAGGTGGACCGGGTCTTCATCCGGCAATGCCCAATTTAGCGATACCACCGCGTTTCCCGAATCCACCTTTAAAGCCCGAAGACTTTCCCAAAATTAAGCCTATAGAACGCGAGAAGCTGCTAATACCGTCGCCTATCGATTTGGTGCCTCCACCGATCTTAGGCGAAAATGAAAAGACGGACAAAGAGAAGGTGGATAACAATAAGAATACAAAGATGTTTAAGCCCAGCAAAGAGTTGCCTTTCATGAAAGTACCTGAGAGGGTCATTGCACCGCCTATAGTGTCTGCACCTGTCGCACCACCAATCATGCTTTCCACACCAACAGTACCCGCCGCGCAAATGTTACCATCGAAAAATCCTAAAACTGAAAAAGCAGAGAAGAATGATACGATAAATTCGGTAGGAAATGATATCGTTAGATAATCGTACAAGTTTCTTGAAAAAATATCTTGAACAGAATAATTGATATAAGTAATTTACTTGTTTTCATCATTAATATGCCATAATTATTGTTTTGTCAATTAATCTGGTGACTGTTATATATCATTATATGTAGCGCATTCTTATATAGTGTTATGATCTTTTCAGAAATCTAAGGAACATAAGAAGGAGAAGAAAGACAAATTAAAGAAAAAGAAAGATAAGAAGGAAAAGCATAAAGATAAAAGTGAGAAAGTGAAAGAGAAGAAGGAAAAAGTTGAAAAACGTGAAAAATTAGAAAAGCTTAAAGAGAAAAAGGAGAAAAAAGAAAAGAAGAAAGAAAAGGATACAAATAAAAAGAATACGGTGCGTTCATGGTTCGTTGTTAATGATAAGGCATATAAAAAAATCAATGAAAATATTGTGTCAATCATTACAGAAGGAAGATAAGAATCCAGAGGCTGTTCCAAAAATTACGTTAAAATTAGGCACTGCTTCTCCTAGACCAGCAACACCAGACAATGCTCCTATGAAGAAAATGTGAGCCCCATTAGTGGAATCATTATTTTCATTAATTTACATCAAAGAATTAATAATTGCTAACAAAATATTGTTATTTCTTATACATATTTTACGCATTATTCTCTTGATATGAAGTTGTCCTTTATTTATAACTTGTTCAGTTACTCGCCAATTTATTTATTTTCTTATTTTTTCCAGAACAATTAAACCGCTTGTGAAAAAACCTGATGAAGAAGTCAAACGGGAGCCTAGTCCAGAGTTGGCGAAAATATCGGCATTGGTGACACGTCCACCAAAGCAAAAGTCAACAAGTAAGAAAACAGAGGAGGGAATATTAGACGGAAGCCCTGCTCTTCCTACAGATTCTTTCTCTGCCAATCTTACTAGCGTGCCACCTGCATCAGCTCCTCGAACAAAGAAATCTATCTATCAAAGTGAGCCATTACCTACACCTCACTTTGATCCTGCTCCCAAACTCCCGAACCCTCTAGCGATGCCACAGCAAGTACCATATTATTTTGTAAGTACATTTGTCACGATATTGAAATTTTCATTCGGACTTAGACTCGGGGGAGGGAGGGGGATAAATTACTGATGTAGATAGCATATTTGATGAAAAAAAATTTGTTGAATTAATTGAATTTTTGAAGTAAAACAAGTTAGCATGTATTTTTGGTACGCTTTCGAAGAATCACTAGCCGTCAAATTATAAAATTAGACTACACACTGAATCTTATTATATTGTCGAGGGTAACAAACAGAAAACTCGATGTGTTCCAGTCTAATCGCCTGGAAGTGCTAATTCGAAACCGTACAAGAAATTCATATAAATTTCCGAGCTAGAGTCATGATTACAAAAAAAAGATATATTTTAATCTTTAACAAGATATAGAGATACATTATTACGATGGAAAAAAAACTTACAGATACCTTTGAGAATGATAAGTAAACAAGTAGATGTGATATAAAAATCATACATATTTGTATATATGAAATTCTCTAAATTATTACAAATTTTGGGGAAAGTTTAACGTTTAAAATTATTGCAGATATTCTCTTAATATTTTATTCTTTAAGTGACGAACCCAACCCATCAATATTGTCTCAAGTATGAGCCTATCCAAAGATTCCAATTTCCTATTCATTTTACGCTATGTATGCATTTAGGACTTGTGGTGACGGTATCATGTCTCCTTTTTTAATTTCTTTTTTATTTTTTTTCTTTTTCCGTTAAGCCATACTTTTAGTATATTTTTATGTTGTCCAACTTTAAATGTAGTATATTCTTATAGCTATATTTAGACTTGTATATTTTACGTTACAAACATCACTTTTGCTCACTTTCTTCAAATCCGATACTTGTATTTCCGTTTCTAAACTCGTATTGAGTCTTAAATATTTGTCCACTCTTACTCAGAAATTGAATCTTAAGCATTTACTTTACGATTCCATTGAGAAATTATTCTATTTTTTGATAATTATAACAGGTGTGATATAGCAAATTACAAGTCACACATTGATTCATATATCTCATAATACAATTTTAAAAGAAAACTATATATAATTATACTAATTTTTTTTTCCTATAAAATTATATTTCGCGATATTCTCAATATAAATTTTTGGTAAACAGCATTTTAAATGTACCTTTTGTATATATTGTTCATACGTAAATACGATTCTGTTTTTTCATTGAATAAATAATTATCCACTCGTTAGAAATTAATTCAATCGTGCATCTTCGAATAAAGCATTTCTCGTCATCATGTTATCATCCATGCATTTTATATATATTAACTATGCACATCATATATACGCATACAATATGCAATATGCTATACTTGTCTCTTCTTTTTATAAACTTGAACGATTAATATAGTATAATTATGTAAATAATATTCTAATGGATTTCACAAACGAACATATACTTGCACTATAAACTCAATATTGAAAATTTTATAGAGTATAATTGTAAATATGTAGTTACACACACACACACATACACATATTTATATACAATATGTAGTATCGTTAATTATGAATTGATAAGTACCTTTGAACGTATGATTTCTTTACCATTTTTCTTTATCTATTGATCAGATACGATACACACGAAAAAATATTAGCATCATTAATATTAAAGAGATTGCACACGTGTGTAATCAATTTACAAATTTCACATCTCATATTCCAATTTCAATATGAAATCTTTGATATTCGTGAAATATAAGTCAATAATATGTAATTTATTCTCTCTTAGTATTTTCATACATTTTAAACGAAGTGTGATTTCTGTTATAATATATCTCTCTTATGTTAGATAATAACATGCCCATGCTTTTCATTAATTTCTCTTCTCTATTTAGCAAGTGCAGTCTCACATTAGTGTGTGTGCATAAGTATACTTTTCACGTACGAATAGTTAAGATGCAATTAGAACTCTATGCGTCACTTCTGGATTTGCTGCTTGACTGTTAACTGGTAGTATTAGAGCATGTCTTATTAGTTACTAATGTAACTAATATCAGTTAAATATCTTTTCTACTTTCAACTTCTTGCAAAGCGAGAGGATTCGCTTGTGTCGAGAGATAAAAAAAATTTCTTTCACAATTTTTAGTTTTTTAGTTTATTAAAAACGTGTCTTCTCTAGTTTGTTCAATTCATTGACGTATTTTATCACACTAATAGATGTCAAAATTATCGGGAAAAAAGATTTAGTAAACATCTGTGAATAGATATAAACATATACATATAAAATGACATAAAAAGACCGCTGCATGATTTATGAGATTGCACGTTGCATATAAATTTAGCATGAGAGATCCGTTAGGAATATAACTGACGGTTTTAACGGTACAGAGGTGAAAGCAGATCCAGTTCCTAAAAAGGACGATGCTAAAGAAGACAAAGAGAATGGCAGGAATATGTTGCCTACAACACCAGCCACTACTGTGGTGAGTACGTCTTACACCCTCTTTAAGAAACGTTGTAAGGCATTCCTTGCGCGTTGAGGGCATATCGCAGATTCTGGACAACTAGTTTTTGTATCTCATAATGTGCTAGTTTTGTAACACGATGCATACGTCATATTATATTATAAATACGGATGTAGAAGCAGACGCGCTTGCTAGCTACTTTAAGCAGAGATGATTTACATGTTGAAGGATTAGAACATTATTCTAAAAAGACACACACACACACACCCTTCTATGACAATTCAACAAATACGTGTATGTGTATTAAATATCTAAAAAGAAGAGACAAGTTCATCCAGTTCATGTGTTATCATAAATCATTGCTTCATTTTATTTTAAAATATAATAGGAAGATATTTGCACGTTACATCTCCTTTTTTTAGGACAATTTCATACGGATAAAAAATACTGTTGTAGAGTATGCAATGTATACCAATCATATAAAATACTTATGCATCGGTATTTTTCTTTTTTCTGTAATGTTATCCGAAAAATAAGGACGTAACGTACACGTACTTTCTTCTGCTGAGTAATCTTGGATACATTTAAGACTCAAGAGATTTCGTTTTGCGGTTCAACAATGTAAGATGTGTTGATATTCCGCTTATTATTATAATATTCTTTTATGGCGAGAATATTTATGGACAGCATGACAAAATATCTCAATTCAAAGCCTACTGGCCATTCTTTATTTCGAAAGTCACAGCCAGTAAAGTAAGAGAAGAACTATAACATGTTTTAACGTCTTGATAATTGCTCGATACGATACAATCTTAGCAAATGATTTGAACATTAATATCATATAGAACAAGTCAAATATTATATCCAATATCATAGAACAAATTTTCGCCAAAGATGGGTTGGGTTTGATAAAAGCTTGCAAAGTTCGGCGTTTATCCTGAGATGAGTGTTACAGGATCGAGTTGGTCGTCAGGTGTGGATATGTCCAGCATGCGGCAATCAGGATGACGGTTCGCCAATGGTCGGCTGCGACGATTGTGATGCGTGGTATCACTGGTAAACAACTTGTTGATTTATTTCTAGCAAAAATTACAAATTCTGTTTCTGTACATTGTATTTAGATGACACGGTTCGGATATGTGAAAGTAACAATGTCTCTCATTTCAGGGTATGCGTTGGAATGCAGGTACCACCGGCTGATGATGAGGATTGGTACTGCCGCTTTTGCATAGCGAAGAAGCAAGAGCTCCTTCACGATAAGAAGAAGAAGAAGCGGAAGAAGAAGGTGAAAGTAACGGCCTAGTATAAGCTAACCGGGTCCTGTGCAAGACCCGGTGTAACTATACCACCCGCTACCAAAGTAAAAACAAAAGACAACAAGATCGGTGTTAAGAATGTGAAGACAAAAAAGATATCTAAAGGTGCAAATGACGTTAAAGGGCAAATGAAGTCGTTGAAGACAAAGCCGATGGCGAAAGAGAAAGTTACAAAGAGTTTAGTGAAAGTGAAGACTGTAAAAAAGAAATAAAGTTTTTACATCGTGCAATGCAACTTACTAAATAGCAGAAATCGTATTTTGTAAACTAGGTAAGACTAAGGTGTAAACAACTATCTTCTATACCAATCTGATCTTGAAAATATCTTCACAATTTTCTACTATATATATGTATATATACACATATGTACATAAATATGTATATATATACATATAAATATGTATATATATATATATGTATATACATAAATAGATACACAGTCTCGTGTGTTGATTATTTACGCTGTGTAATTTACTATGTAACTTACATTTATATTACACATAAATTTTTTGTATATTTTCTCAGATCTATTCACAAATCTCATACACTTTCCCCTGCATGCTGTGTATTGACAAACTTAATATATAGGGGATACTTGAGAAATTAAAAAAAAATTATGTCTATTTTTAATTAATAATGTGTGTATTTTAACATACACATATATACATGTAATATGTGCGCGATAACAGTTATGTAAATTAATATATTCATCATTGTTATTATCAATGTACGTAATTACTTCATTTTTTCATTGTATATAAATTAATTGTTAGCGAGGCATAAAACATGTGTATCAGTTCGCAAATGAAATTCATACAATTTGATAACAATTTTACTATGTTATGCTATACGTCATTTAATTAATTTATACATAAATTATAGTTGTAAAATTATTTAACATTTATAATATGTGAAATACTGTTTCATATTGTGGTATATACACAATATTTACGAATCGTGAAACCGATCAAGTCTTGAATAACAAGCTAAATTATACATTAAATCAGGAACGCAGCAATAAGGCAAAAACACCAGCATAAAACGAAAAAGTTCAGTCTTCAGTTTTTTTCGTGAAGTTTCTCATTTCACGTCTAACTTTCACATTTATAAGAAAACATTCTGTATATTAATAAATAAAATATTTGTAGAAAATGACTAAACAAAATTACTAAACAAAATTAACTATGTTCAATGGAAGTCAGCGCTATATTAATGTTTTGTGCTGCATTTCCAACAGTTGAAAGACTCTTTTGAACTTCATTTGTAATGACTATATTTTTCAACATGCGTTTAGTAAAACACTTTTTGTATGCTGAAACAAATGTTAATAGCTTAGTAAACACGTTGGTAAAACATCGTTAAGTGGTGTTTATGCATTCTATTCATTGCGATATTTATTATTGTAATTCATTTCTTTTGTACTTGAAGAATGGCGTACTAAATACAAATATGTAAAAGTTTTATAATTATACAATTTATTATTTATATTTGCATTTTTCAATCACTTGATCGTACTGTATTATACGATTCTTAATGTAGAAGTATTTGAAGATTTTAGATTGAATCACATTATTCATGATGCAAATACTTCACATATGCTACAAATTCTACTCACTCAAAACTCTGCATGACGTGTAAAATATCGTGTAGTTTTGATACAATTTTGATTAAGACAATATATCTGGTTAAATATAATCCTTTACACACTGTCGAAATTCCCAAGTTCTTTTCTCTGTAATCGTTCACATGATTATCTTATTGCCAGATCATTTTATATAGATATATCGAGGATATTTATGAATAATGCATAATTCAGTCGAATATCAATCATGAATAATTCATAATTCAATTGAATATCGAATATCGTATAGAATACGATCCATAATATGTACGAGTACAATGTCATCCCGTCTACTGAATTAAAATCCGCAACTCCTATGTGCAACCGACAAACGATATTTCTTTCGCGCTAGAAATGATTCTAATACCATTCCTGCGATATCATACTAACACATATCTATCTTGTTCTTTGCAGGCGGAGCATTGAGCCCACCGGTGTCGCCTGACTCGAGTTGCTTCAATAGTCGGAATAACGCAGCGGCTTCCCTGATACGACTGAATTCGATGCAAAACGCCTGCACCTCGATAAACAGTTCTTGCACATTTATGATCTTGTTCCTTATCAGGGACTGCAGAAACACGCAAACCAGCCGCACCAGTCGGTTTTGCATGTAACGATCCTTGATGGTCTCGCAGGTGGATATACAATTGCTGATATACAAATGTACAAACTCCGTCGGCAAGTCGACGGTGGTGGTCAGTCTATTCACAACTTCCATGGAGTGAAGGGACATCTCCATGTTCACCAGCACGCTGAAGTACTCAGTAATCTGACTGGACTGCATCAGCTTGAGCAAAACTTCGATAGCGATCAGAGGATTATTCTCAACTAGATCTGGCAGCTTGCCCGGCGTAAGTCCGATATGATACACCAGCTTCGGATCTCTGTCCAACTCATTGACCAAGTGCTGCTGTTGCTGCAGCGTTAGCACACTCTTGAAAGCCTTGCCCATCAGTTTGCGAGCCTCTGCACCGGCGCAATTCGACACGCACATACTAGTGTCGTATTCGATCGTGAATTGAGTCGGTTCTGCGACATTCTCCCAGGATAACTCATTGATGGAGTAATAAAAGGGCGGCGCTAGCCTGAGGAACTCGGGACGACAACTTAGTCTGCAGAGAGGTGGATCGCCAGTTGTGAGACTCTCCAATAGAGATAGGACTGCCGTGCGTCTCATAGAGGTCTTGTCGAGCTCTGTCGCCTTGGACTGATCCATATCTGGCAAGATCACAGGATGGCCACACTTACTGACAGATGGTAGCTCAGAATGGTGTTCCGCTAACTGCAACTGCAAACTGGTTAAATCTACAGGTGGCACAGAGACGAAGTAAAATTCATCTACGATTTGACGTGGTGTCTTCTTCATGATGTCCTTCTGATGTCCTATCAGATGCCGCAGCAGATTTTTCTCACAGGTGGACAAGAACGGTATGTGACCTGTATGATTGGGTGGCTTTGGGATTCCATCGCTGATGTCCTCCCGTGGTGTTCTCAACATCTGAATGAACACAGGAGCAAAGGGTGTGGAGGCTAATGGCTCACCTTTATACAGATCAAACAACAGTGACAATGCTATGATGCGTTGAACATGCTTAGGAAGTAGATCGATGTGTTGCAGCAACAATAGCAATGTGGTTCCTATTTTGAAACGATCTTCCTTGGGGAAATTCTGGTGTAGCTGATTGCACAGGGTTTCCAAAGTGGCATCTAGATGCTCCTCGTTGAGCAGGTCAAGTAATTTAACCAAGTCCTTTGGAGAGACCGTCATTCTCCTTGTATAGTAAATAAAACATTCGCAACAACACGCTCCCTGACTGTTTTGCCTTCGCTCTGTCGTCGCAATGTGTCACGTGTAAACAATAGCAGTGATTCGTTCTCTTTAAAGGGACGTCTACATTGGAAGTAAGTAGGAAGTAAGAGTAAGAAATTGACCAACCATAGTCGAATGTGAGAAGAATAATCAACTATGATTGGTCAATTTCTTATTCTTACTTCCTACTTCTTACTGCTTACTTCCAATGTAGACGTCCTTTTACGTTCACGACTACGCTTACGCAATTGTAGAATGGGCTTTAAGGGACGTCTACATTGGAAGTAAGAAGTAGGAAGTAAGAATAAAAAATTGACCAATCATAGTTGATTATTCTTTTCACACTCGACTGTGGTTGGTCAATTTCTTACTCTTACTATTTACTTCCAATGTAGACGTCCCTTAAGAGTCAACCAATCCGAATGTTTTATTCACTGATTGCTTTACTCTGATTGGTGTCGTAATCACTTACAACCACTTACATCCACGTTCACGCAATTGTAGAATGGGCTTAAGAGACGTCTACATTGGAAGTAAATAGCAAGAAGTAGGAAGTAAGAGTAAGAAATTGACCAACCACAGTCGAATGTGAGAAGAATAATCAACTATGATTGGTCAATTTCTTATTCTTGACTTCCTACTTTTTACTGCTTACTTCCAATGTAGACGTCCCTTTAATTGATTGATTCTTACGATCACGACTACGATTACGCAATTATAGAATGGCCTTTAAGACGGTCTCAAATAGGTGCTTTCCAGCTACGTACACTGTGTTACACAAAACTAGTTTATTGATTGCATATTATCTTACAAGATATTTTAGATAATATGTGACCAACAAACTGGTTTTGTGTAATACAGTGTAAAGGCTGGTTTATGATGGCTGTAATTCGTTAACTTATGCTGGAACCGTAAAAAATTGACGATAATCACAGTTGATTATTCTTCTATAATTCGACTATGATTGGTCAATTTCTTAAAGCTTATTACGCCTTTTGTAGATTGGAACTAATGGTACACAGGACGCAGTAATGCTTGCAGCGCGGCGAAAGTCCGCGCGACAGCCAATCAATATGTTGCTTTTCTGTAAGAGCTAGAAAGTTATTACGGAAAGCAGCATATTGATTGGCTGTCGCGCGCACTTTCGCCGCGCGGCAAGCATTACCGCATCCTGTGTGCAGAAGCTATAAGACTTGACCATGAATATCGGCCATAATTTTCTTTGTATACGCCGAAACATTTGTAACTTCAAGTTACAATCTTATCTTTTGTCCTCTCATTTCTAATTGGTCGTCGAATAAAGGCGCGTTCTATTGGACGACTGCATTGACATGATCACCGATTGGAACGTAGCCAAGACGTCTTTTCTGAAGCAGAGGGATAGATTTATCTAAAATAAAGTTGTACATACATAATATAGATATATATACACATATTTATTTATTATATGGACATAACTGCACGCACGCGTGTCTTTGGTATATTGGATCAACGAGTGACATCCGTTATTGCTGCAGTTGTTTGTAGGTCAGTGATAAGTGAAGATATCGCAATTTATTGCATCTTTTGTCAAGAAAAACAAATTCCCATGGAATGGAAAGGATTGGAAGCTGATATGACTCATGAGCATAAACAGCAGAATGGTTTTTTAATCGTGTCACAATCAGGCGAGAACACATTGAGTTTAATCAATCTTCCCGATGTTGTTTTAGAGGCGATCCTGTCTAACCTCACTTATGATGAGATTTCTAAAAATAGAATTGTAAGATCGACTTTTCCATTTAATTTGCGACTGATATACATATATCAGTCGTAAACAATTCTTTATTGCTCACATCATTGTTCATTGTTGTTGTCTTGTCAACAGGTTTGTAAACAATTTGACCGTATTTGCAAAAAGTTGTTGAATCGAGGTTTTAATCTTATGGAAAAGTATCATGCGCAATGCCTTCGTACTGTTAAAAGCAAATTACCAAGAAGAGAATCAGAGCGGAGGAGTCATCCTCTTGCTCGCCACTGTGATATATTGACAGCGATAGAAACAAGAATCTCTATGTTATCAATGACTTTTAGCAAGTATGTGGAAACTAATGTGTGCTGCTTCATTCCAGGGAAGGTAAGAAATGATGAATCCCTAATGAGAGTTATTGTTAATACTACAAGCATGCATAAACAAGTATTTTTATAAAATAAGACCTGCTCTTTTTCCTTTAATAAAATATACTTGTTTCACTTATTGTATCATTGTGTATAGTTCAAGAAGTTCTTCAAAAAAGAACAGGTCTATTTATGTGCAATAATTATATCTATATGTTATTAAATATTAAAATATTACTTAGAGAGTGTGGTAGTAGTACTGAATAAGTTCGAAGTATATTTGTAATGGCCATTACATAATGCCGTGTGTAAATTGCAATCAGGTAATCGATGAAATTTTTCGTGTTCTTCGGCTAATTCGTGACACAAAGACACCACCTCGAGCACATGAGATACTTCAAGAGCTGCGAGACATTAGTAGCATGGCTATGGAGCATTTTGACGAGAAGATTCTGCCAGACCTGAAGCATAACATTTGTATGGTTGGTACTGTGAATTCGTACGAGTTGCCTGGTGGCGCTCTCATGATCTCCCACACGAGACATCCGAACAACGCTACACTGCCGCACAATTTTACCTCGGAGAAACTTAACCAGAGTTTTAAGAAAATCTACGACCGTACGAAGCAAAACAAAATATCCTGTTTAACGATGAAAAATCTGATGGACAGGATGAAGCTCAGGGTGAGGAGGCAAAGCTTTCAGATGCGACAGCAAAACGTAAAATTGCAGAGGCACGCGAAGAAGTTACATGAGCAGGACGGGCAATTGGCCGAGATGAAGAAACATCTCGAAGAGTGGGAGCAGAAAATGGTAGACTTGACTGCCGAATTGAGCCGGGCGCGAGAAGGGACGCAAAATTCCGACGCGGAAAGTCGCAAACACATCACAATCTCGAAACACATTGACATCATTAACACCGAGGCTGACACGACGCTACAAAATAACGAGTTGCATTCGAAGAAACGTAAGCTAATAGTGGAGAGGAAATCGTCGAGCGACGCGCAGGACATAAAGTTCAAGAAATTCATGTCAGATCTTCTCGCGAACAACACGTTAGACAGTAGTTACCCGTCGACTTCGAGTAGTTCGACTTTCTTACACTAAGCAGTTTGTATGAAGATTTTTCCAAAATATTGTACTCTTTATATGGACTCATTTTTCAATCGTTATAGTGTAATAAGCGTAGTAACTGGTAACGTATCGTCCATCTTCAAGACGTTCATAATAATTCAAAATAATCTGGCAAAGAATAGCATTCGTTCAAGTGCTTGTGTTACGCGATGTCAGTACTATACGTATGATATCACCCGCGACGAGATGAACCAAGAGCCTGGTTCCTCCCATTGTCCGGTTTCAGTAGCGTCGATTAATAGCAAATTCGGTAGCTTACACTAATGCGCACTAAGGCTAGCTTACAGTACATCTTATATTTAAGATCGTGTCTTAAATACATTTTTAAAAACATTTTAGCTAATAAAATGATTCGTACGGATATTGTACATATATTACTGGTTAAAGATATTTGAAAATTTATTTAAGACAATTTTTAAATATAATAACATATTGTGAACAAGCCTTAGTGCGCACTAATGCAAGCAATCGAATTCGCTATAAGTCTTGAGTTCAGATTATCTATGTTCACAGACAAACTCAAGGTTTAGAAACTTTGGTGGAGCCGGATCTTAATATTTTATGCGATTGATGGAAGTAATATTTCTTAAGAACGAGAACTTCTGAAAACGAAATCTCAATAAACAAGAAATATTACGTTTAGTTGATTTAACTGAGTTCTATTACGTGATATTAATACAATCTGCGATAGAGAGTCAGAAACCTTAATCTTTTAGACGATTAATAGAAATTTAAGTATCTCTCGATTAGGCATCTCTCGAATAACACGGCATTTGAATTATATGAAGTCTTGAATAACGATCACCTAATGAAAGACATACAATTACTTAAAGAACTAAAAGAATCGTATGAATTCTAAGTTTTGAATTAATCGTGTTATTCGAGAGTCACCTTTATTTTCATTGAGAACAATAAGAAATCTTACGAAAAATGTTTAATTAATTTAATTACTTGCGCGTTCTCTGTTATGCGATATTGACACAATGTACAAACAAACGTTTTATTGCAAACTTCTCTAGCGTTTTACTGTAAGATTTATATTCGCGATATAATACGATAATATTATCCATACAAGACCCATGTAAAATATAAATGCTACATAAAATCATTGAAAACGTTACTTTTGTGTGCATTTATTGAAAATATAAAAGGAGAGAGCAAAGACAATAAACTACATGTCGCATTGAAATATTGAAATATTAATAAATATTTCATTGAACTGTATACTAATATTGATTTAATGAGAATGATGACCCTAATTTTACCGTGAAAAAGATGTAAATCTTACTTCGAGTATCACGTGCGTTCTCTAGCTTGTGAACTTGAATTTTAATTTAGTTCACTTTTTATCTTCGACAACTGAATCATCAGTCAGCGGTTCTTCTATTCCGACATCTTGTTCCTGGAAAAATTCATGCGGATTTTTTTATTCACACCATGAAAAGATTATATCAGCAATAAACCGATACTTACTGTATCACCCGTGAAAATCACTTGCATGTCCTCATATTTAATATCAGTCTCTTGATTTGTGATTTCAGATGATTCAATGGAAGGTAACTCTAAAATTTTCTCATAAATTGCTTCGTGTGCGCTTTGCATGTAACTTTGTTGTTGATCGTGGACTTTTTTCCTCATGTCGTATTTCTTCACTTCAGGTAGAACGAAATTATAAATCATATCCGTTACCAATTCTTCTTCTACCAAGTCGTTCGCACTGCAAAAACATTACTTTTGCGAGGATATTCTTACAAAATTATCGCTTTTATATGTCATCAATCATCTTACTTTTTCGAAGTATGCTTTGCTATATCATCTACTTTATCACAAAGTTCCAGAATGTGCTCTTTAGCTGTCTCCTCGGATACCCAGTCGATACCCTCCTTTATAATATCTTCCAAGTAAACCTCTACCGAGTCCTGATTCACCTTCACAATCTGTTTGAACATTTCATCGAATTCTCGTCGGCGATTACGCTCCATCTGCCGTGTACCAGCTTCGGCGGCCTCTCTCATGCACCTCTCTCTTTCAGCGAGCAAAGCGAAAGCATGGGCCCTACGTTCGTCCTTTAATCTCACCAGTTCCTAGGAACAAAGAAGGATATATAACTCATGAGTTACTTTGATGAAATGGCAAAGAGGTACTTATTAAGCGGTACTTACCTTGCTAAGGAGATCCAATGTCCCGCAAACCGTCTTTCCTTCCAAAGAATTGAGAATCTCGCACAAACGATCCTCCTGCACAGATTTGTCGTCTTGTAGCCGCTGCGACTCGACAACATGTATCTTTTCATCATACAGTTCCTCTTCACCGTTTTGTTCAGGTGTCTGGGTCGACTGCAACTCCTCGATCAGTTCTCTACATCTGTTACGTCCTTCGTACATCTAAAAAAAGTAACATTTTATCATCTCGAGTTTCAATTATGTTTACATAATTATGTAAACATAATTGAAGTCAAAGGCCAAGAAATGGATATTTAATCAAATATTATAATTTCAGAATTCCTTGAATGTTTTACACGACAACAAATCGTGAACTATTCTTACCAGACATTGTATCGCTCTACCCTTGACGATCTTCTGAACAAATGTAGCGGATTCCTCTCGTTTCTTCTGTGTACTGTCCCACACACCTGATCTGCGAGGTGTAACCGGCAGAGTTGACCGTTTGAATTTACGTTTCATTAACCGCGGAACTGCATCTACGGATTTCACGTTCAATCGAATCGCCTTCAGATCAGAATGAAGCTGTTTTAATTTCTCTTCTGTCCATCTAGACTCTCTGATACAAATGTCCGTTGGCTTCGACAATTCACGTTTAATCACTTTCGGCTCTTCGATAATCGGTAACCAACTGAGCGTTGTATCTACTTTCTCTTCTTCTTCTGAATATTTTTAACACGAGGAAATTGAATAACATATGAAATGTTAATATTTAATTCAATCAGTTTACTTACTTTAATTGATTGACATTCGATAATAGAATAGTGCGATTGATTAAAAATAATATAAAAATACGTACAGATAAAATACATATAAAGCAGACAGCCTTTCTGGTAGCAATTTTATCGACAATATAGCTAATAATAGCGAAATTATATTTGTTAAGCGAACGGTTGTAATAAAAAAATGCGTATATATTTTTTTTATCACTTTCATCAGTTCATCGTCAAATTTTACATACTCACGTTCGATATAGTCTTCGCTCAAAAATCGCTTTTGCAATGTTTCATGCCGTCCTCGGGAATGTTCTCCGAAACGCAATTGCGGTGCATACAATTCAGATTTTGGATCGGCATGTTGCTCGATTATATCGAGTTTGCGCGGTTGTCGCTTATGGCATTGTTTTCTGCATAATTTCCGCAGATCTCGTTCAAGATCGTGTCTGATGCTATTGACTCGGTCGTCTCGATGTTTCCTCAGTTTGTCCTGAAGCCTACTGAAACGGCCCTGCAGTTTTTTCTTGTATATCGACTCGCGATTTCGCGAGAGGTCTTTCATCAGTTTCAATCGTAAGTCCATTATGAATTGTATCTCCTGAAATTATCAAGTAGTAAAAGTGAATATTAACGCCAATTATTATTAATTAATGTAGTGAAGGACAAATAGATTAAACAACTTGACACTGGAGTTCCCCAAAATACACACCGACTCCCGGAAAGCCCATCTATCTATTTCTAAAGCTGTTATTATTGAATTCCGCATTCTTATGTTGGCTGGCGTATCCATCGGTGGCAGGATGGCCTCCCATGCTCCTTTCATTCGCAATCTGTTGATTACATGTATGTCGTGGATGCCCGCTGGTAATCCGTGTTCCCAAGTTAGATGAGCCAACGTCAATACTTCGGGATTGTGACCTAGACGAAAATTTATACATATACGTTTTAGTTCCTTATATATTGCAGATAATCTTTACAAAGTAAAACAAACGACTTACAATATTCTTTTCAGGACATTAGAACAATAATTTTATAAAAACTGATATACACGTTGTAACGTTACTATTACCAGGAACAATCTTATACGGTGGTTCCCAGGGTTCGGTTTGCGCTTCGCTCTCTCTATAATCCGTTTGTGTTCCGGCATTTTTGTACTGTTCCAACTTAGGAGGTACGGTGTAACATTGTCTCTGTAAGATCCCGCTCAGAACTTTGCGGTCCAAATAATATGGAATATCCGTAGTCTCTATCTTCGGCACGCTAAATGGTATTACAGGTCTTCGAAGATATTTGCATTTGCTGTCGTACGAAGTGCCAACCGTCTTACTTCGTACAGCCATTCTTCTGTTAATTTGAAGATAAGTATCAGTCATTACGAATATTATCAACACAAAATATAACGATTGAAAGCGTACCCAAGATTTAAAGAATAATTATATAACTTGTACTTCTTTGAAAAGTAATTTCCATGATCTTGAGATTTGTTGCGGCCTAAAAAATCAAGACGCTCACATGTCCTCTAAAAAAATAATAATAAATGTTAACAAAATTCAATTATTTAACAAAAACAGCCATACATTAAACTGTATGTATATACATTATGTGGAGAGAGTGTTAAATTAATATATTTTCTATGCTTAACGAAAAGATACTTACAAATACGCCAATTTTTTGAGCGATTGATGAACGAGAACAGTTATTGCCGCTGCATATAACGTAAGCATGGTCTGCTACTATATTATCAAAAAATTGTCAATTCATAATTAATCTTACGTTAAATTTATGTGATACATGATATCATCTTACGACGTTTCACGTTTCCTTTCGTCATAATTTTCATTGCAGCTTAGCTGTGACCAATAATGACACGTTGTAATTAAAATGTCACGTCTATTCTATCTTCACAAAAGTCTTTAGGATCGGATAACTGTCATAATACGAGCAACTGTCAAAACACGAAATACCGATCGACACACAAGGTTCCAGTAATTATCGACCAAACAATGCTATAGCAGCAGAAGCGACTTCGATGAAGGAAGAATACATATAATGAGATAAGCGCGCGTCTCGACGAGTAATGTATATTTTATATTCTTCGGATATATCAGCATTACATTTTTTAATCAAAGCCGGCCTTAATGTTGGCAGCTATACATTTTGACATCTTTTTTTATTTTTATATTTCGTTATCGGTGGAGCCCACTTCTAGCAGAGATTCAACAATAAAAAGCAAGCCCACCGATAATGAAAAGCGCAAGAATATAATTCATAACTGCGTTCCACAAAAATACTTCATTATCAGTTGCGATTAGCAAATAATGAGATAATATCAATCTTCTCTCAATAGGAAATCTCAAAAGATCTTAAGGAGAGACAGTTGTTTCTCAAAGAAAAATTAAATGTTGAAATATTTTGGTTCTTATTCTAAACTCTCTTTTATCGACAAAAATACCTTTCAATGTACTTATAAGTCAACCAGATGACTAATATGTCACGTTTAGAGACACTTTTATTGATAGAAAAGAGTTCAGAATAAGAATCGAATTGTCAATTGTGGGAACTCTACGAGCAACAATGTCCCTACATATATACAGAAAATGCATATAAATATTAATATAAATTACTTTTATGTAACAATCACAGTTACGAACATGTCACTGTATAGTTTTACAAACAATACGTAAAGCTATCTGAGTTTTTAAATTCCGTTATTCATTAACATTAGTGTATTACAACGGGAAAATTCTCTCAATAGCTCGCACAGCTAGACACAATCTTTTAATTTCAAATATTTAATCTACGTAATGGCTTAAAATGGCCATTCCCGGAAGAGCCTAGATGTGCGGGCCAACTCTGATGCAAGGAAATATCCCTGCAAGTTTGATTAGGTAACATATCCTCCGGACACACGCATTCCAGTTTCATTCTATATATCGTCATTTGGCCGAGCGCGATCTTTACGTTTTCTCTGTCCATCGATTCTTGGTACAGTCTGTAATTGACACCTCGTTCGAACAGACACTCGTTGATAATGTCATCGTCCTTCTTGTACTGCAATTTATTTTCTGACAATACTTTCTGGATACATTCCAGATCGGCTTGCGATAAAATCAGAGACACTTCGGATGACGGTAGCCAGAATGTGGAAAACACCAGATCTACCGAAGTCTTCTTTTTGGATTCGTCAATAGATGGTAGCAGAATGCCAATCGGCGGTTGTCTCTGAACACCGTTGATTTCGCTCGACTGATCGCCGCTAGTCTCAGATTTTCGTTTCGTCTGTCGCTTCTGTCGTATCCTATAAGCTGTATCCGCTACCCACGACGATGCTAACGTTTGCTTTCTATTGTCCAGGTTTTTATTTTGATTTTTCAACGATTCCCGTTTGAAGATCTTCTCTATGCTCGCTTCGTCGTTTGCGTCCTGAAAAATATCGGGAAAATCATGCTTGTCAGTTTGTTTCCACTGTGTTATACCTACAGTTTTATCGGTACTCGGGGTGTCTTGGTAATTTGTGGTCTTCTGGCTTTCCGTGACGCTAAGCGCTTCCATATGTGTAACTTCTGTTGTTTCAAAGTCCAGGTTTATACTCTTTGTTTCAGCAGGTTCACTTGTAAATGCTGATGTGTCCGGTGTACTCACATCTACGGTAGTCTCTTCAACATCGCTTCTCGATTCAGTGCTCGACGATATCTCTTCTAGAGACTTTACAGTCGTTGCTATTGATATATTCACTGTATCAGCTTTGTTCGTTACCTCCTCCGTTCCTTTCAAAGTGTTCCTTTGTTCTCTGTCGGAAATATTTGTCGAGCGAGAATCTCTGGAAACAACACTTCTCTGCTCCCGCATCATAGCTTGCGAGTAATCCATACTCTGTTCTCCATCCTCATTGTTACCTCCGTCGTCGATTCCGTACATACCGTCGTACTCCTTATCCAACGGCACATTATCCCTCGTCCATTTGTTATCGTGTTTCCACACTTGATCCGCATCCAAGTTCTCCATAGCCTCGCTTTCGACAGGATTGCGACTTTTGTGACCTTTAAACTCGTCAAAATTTTCATAAACAACGTCTGAATCGTACTTCCCGACTTCTGTGAGCAAATTGTTATCCTTGTGCTTGAAAATACCGTCTTTCCGGTGATTCTTGTGAACTCTTGGTGATCTCTCGGAGACCAGCGGTATGTCCGCGTAATTATTCATAACCTCAGACCGGGAATGACTGTTCCAGTATCTTTCCGCTTCCTGTCGCGGATTTATCGAATTGTTGAACTCCAACGACTTCCAGTGCTCTGAGAAGTACAACTGAATCCCAGGCGGACCGACATGCTGACTGAGAGCCAACAACTTCGTGGTCAGTGTTGAATTGAATCGCAATCGACAGAGATCGGCGCGCGTTTGCGACATGAGACTCTGACCCTTCAGAAACTGATACTTATCTTTGACGCCTTCGTAGTTTAGACAATCGGCAGACCAATGCAGGAACCAATCGTTGCCATAACCGTCGACTGTGATCGACAACCCGGACATCTGACTGCTCAAGCTATCTTCTATGGATTTTTCGAGCAAAGATTGCCCGTTGCGACCGTCCACGACTGTAGCCACGGTATAATAATACGTGGGAAAACCAGCGCCTATTTGATGCTTCACCATAAAATCCGGCACATCGTCGTCGTTGTAGTAACCAGGAATCGGAATGCTGATTACTTCGGAATTGGGAACTGTATAGTTCCAGATAGGCTCAAACGTTAATCCGTCGTAAGCCATAATCGTGGAGTTAAACATAGCCGCGACGATATCCTCGATTCCGTCTGACGTAATGTCGATCAAAATTGGTGGCAATAACGCACCTTTCCCTGTGTCGTGATAGAGCTCGCGCAATTGCTGCAAAATAAGCAATCAAATAATACATATATTTTTACTTTCTATACAAATGTGCTGTTATATAAGAACATACCAGATCACCGTAAAATATGTTTGCCTGAGACACTATGTATAATCCTCCAGCTTCTTTCTGACTGTTTGTGGCTAGAATAAACACATTCTCTCCATCAGGATGGACTAGGATTTGAGGTGCTATGAATAGCTGTTCCGACTCCGGTAAATTAATGTTACGTATGATACTTCCTTTTTTCCCCGATATTACTAGCATATTGCTCTTTCGAACTGTATCAGTTTGCATAACATGCGACGCTATTACGTCGCCGATACCGTCGCCATCCATATCCGTCACAAATCTCGCGTCGCAAACGTCCAAAATTATTTGCTGGCCTGTGGACGTCGCTGGCCTCTGCGTCGGTATTTCCCATATGTTGGTGCCGTCGTGGCCATTAATAGCTTGCAGTATTCCACCACGTCCAGATATAATGCAGTCCTTGATCTTATCGCTCGTCAAGTCAATGCCGCAATCGACAGAAAATATCGCATGGGCGGTCCAGTGCGTCCAAATGGTTTCACCGGTTTTACCATTCAGCGCCAACACCCCACCTAAACACGGCGTTTGATTCCCGAAGTATACAGCACATATATCTTCTGATGCATCTATCTTGTCCAAACCTGAATATGTAAATCAGGGATTATTATTATTCAGTTGCACCAACAGATGATCTCATCATGATATAATGTTAATTATTCAACTCACTTTTCATAAGAAACATCATGTAACTGTGAAACCAAACTCTGTAAACAAGGCAAATAAAATCAAAATACTAAATTAACAAATTATCTCAAAGCAGTCTAATACATATAAATAATAGTAAATTAAACAAATAAAATTAAACAAATAAAAATTTAACAAATAAAAGTAAAACTGATTATCAACATAAAATATTTATATAATAATTTGGAGGTTAAGGATCCTTCAAACAGAAAAAAGTATTGTACAATTAAGCATTGTCTTTCATACCTGTACTAAATCCCACGATAATATCTTCAACTCCATCTAAGTTAACATCATTACTCCTAAGGGGTGCCTCAGAAGATAATTTTGGTAACGATTTAGTCCACAAAACTTTATATGAGAGCGATGTACATGGAACAATCTCTGATTTGTTCACAGTATCCTTTAGTTCATGCGTCAACCAGTTTCTCAATATAGTTAATGGCATAGGAAATATGTTAGCAGTAAATATACAAAGTATAATTAAGCCCAATACTATGGTCAGTGCTGTAATTCCATAGCACAATGGTACAAGAAGTGCTTTGTATGGAAACTTGTGAGTCTGGAAGCTGCAGGACTTTTTGCACTTCCTGCGAGGTGCCATAAGAGGCCGTTTAACTCCACCATCATCATCTAACTTTAATCCACCATTTCTGCCATCCCTGATGAATACCTCGTCATCAATGTCAGTCAGATCATCATCATCGATGCTGTCCCTCACCGCTAGTTTTGGTACAGTTGGATATACCGCTGACATGTTGTTATACCTATAATATTTATAAATTTAGTGGTAATTCGAAGAAGCACATACGATGGACAATAATAAGAGACAATATTGCTGGAGTTCTGTGGACTCGTAAACGCATATACATATATATGTGTGTATCCAGATGTCATTTTTGTAATCTAAGTATAAATATTTTATTGATACAATTTCAATTCATACGTACATTCATGTATGCTTCAATCACTTTTAGAGAAATATCATACTGCGAAGCCTGATAAACGCGCGCACAAATAAAATACTCTAAAATGACAGCAATATTTACGTACGCATCTTGCACTCGTTATCAATGAGGGTACAAACCCATGCAGCGGAATAGCGAGAGCGGAACCAATCATGAGCAGAAGCAATCACGAACGAAAACTGTGGAACGCTCGTGATTGGTTCCACTCTCGTTTCGCGCTCCGCTATTCCGCTGCATGAGTTTGCACCCTCAAGGCTATGTTCAGAAATCCAACTCGATGGATAGAGTTACTTTAATAAACCAATCATGATAAATAAATCTTAGTTCTTTTTGCCCTGATTGGCTAATTAAATGTTACTTTACTCACCGAGTAAGGTTTCTGAACGCAGCCCAAGGTTGATGGAGAAAGAAATAGAGGAACGGAATAGTTACGGAAAAGAGATATGGAGAGGGTCAGCCAATCAGAGTAATTCCGTTTTATTCCGTTCTGTTGTTTGATAGGTAGGTTTCACATGGCACAGAACTGTTACGGAACGGAACAAAAACGGAAAACATTTTAACCTATCAACATCGAGAATCGTAAAATTTAATTGGCCAATCATGATAAAAAAATTCTAGTTATCTTTGTTCTTATTGGTCAATTAAATGCTATTTACGCATTAAGTAGAGTTTTGGAACGCAATCCAGAGTGTAAACTCATGCAGCGGAATAGCGGAGCGCGAAACGAGAGTAGAACCAATCACGAGCGTTCTACAGTTTTCGCTCGTAATTGCTTCCGCTCGTGATTGGTTCCGCTCTCGTTCCGCGCTCCGCTATTCCGCTGCATGGGTTTGCACCCTCAAGTTTCTGACGTAAGTGAACTGAATTTTCTATCATGATCGTTTCTACTCTACTTGTACCTGTCAATCCATGATCGTCGGCGCTACGAAGCATAATCGTGATTACTTTTCTTCGGTAATTACCGTTGCGTACGGTGCCGGTAAAACGGTTGGTAAAAGTTATTACAGGAAAGATGTCGTTCGCTAGGATGCACCTCGTATTTTATATTTCCTGCATTACTCTGATTTCCACATACGTGAGCGCGAACGCGCAAGTGGTAACGCAAGATAGCCTGGTAGAACAGCTCAACGAAGACAATTGGGACCTCATGCTCACAGGAGAATGGATGGTCGAATTGTAAGTTCCACGTCAAATCGTCGATATTGGTAGTTTGACAAAAATAATGCCGATAGCTACATATTTTTAATACTGTAGCACACAAACGTCAATCGAACGTTATATGCTAGGAAAGTGGATAAGGATCTTGAGAATGAAATACTGATTCGAATTTGTTGTTTAGAAAAACTGAAATACACAATAAATTAAATTAATTTATTATTTAAATTAATTTACATATTATAGAGATTTTAATATATAATATTCATTAGTTACGCACCATGGTGTCCTGCATGTAAAGCTCTTGAACCAATCTGGGAACATCTTGCGTCATATAAAGAAGATCTCAATATTAATGTTGGAAAAATAGATGTAACAAATTCTCCAGGTCTTAGTGGCAGATTTATGGTTACAGCTTTGCCTACAATATTCCAGTAAGTTTGATATTTCTAAGTTCAACTCATACTCTATACATGAAACTCAAGTATCATTAATTATATTTCTTTAGTATAAATTCTATATATTATTATATTTAATTAAAAATTATATTAAAAAGGAATTATATCTTTTATTATTTTTTCCTTATCTTAAAATTTGATCTTTTTTACGTTCTAGTGTTAATGATGGTATATTCAGACAATATAAAAGTCCAAGAGATAAAGCTTCGTTGATTGAATTTGTATCAAAGAAAACATGGACAAAAGTGGAGCCAGTATCTAGTTGGAAAAGTCCAACTGCCTTCCATATGTCAATTTTAAGTCAATTCTTTAAACTGTCTCAAGTATTGAGAGTAAGTATATTTTATATATTATCAAATTATATATTTATTGTCAAATTAATATACACACAAGAATTGATATAGATTGGTGGAATGGTCCTGAATTTTGCAAATTGGAACAGTAAAATAAAAATATAATGTTAATGTCTATCGCTTCAGGCTATTCATACTAGACTTTTGGAGGAGATTGGGTTACCAGCATGGGGTAGTTACTTCATATTTGCTGTTGCAACAATTATTTTGGGTGCAGTAATGGGTTTGGTGAGTAATATATTTTTTATTAAATATTAATATTTAAGATTTTTACGTGACCAATAAAGAATTGATTATATTTATAATTATTTGTAGTTTATTGTTTGCTTGATTGACTTCATTTATCCACCAAAACTGGCATCGCAAGCAACTCGGCAAGGCAAAAAGAAGCAGAATGGTACATTAACCACACAGGAGAAAGGTTCAGATGAAGATGAGCTTTCGGAAAATGTTGGAGATGATTTAGTGGATGAATCAGAGCCGGAGGAACTTGGAGAAACACCTGAAGAAGCGAAGACTGAAGAAGTATCTGAACCAGAAGAGCTTGAAGCAAGTGAGAAAGATATGGATACTAAAGCTGATACCAGTAGTCCCAGTGTTCGCAAGCGTAAGCCACGCAAGGCTGATTAGAAACATTAGTTTGTTTAATGTAAATATTCAACAATCATGGATCGATTGCCAGTAATTTTCAGCGATGTATTCCCGAAATCATTCCTGCGCATTACGACCACATATATTTGATGTGGTACCATTATCCTACATCATGAAACATGGATAATTGGTATGGATAATTCAAAGAAACATATTTGCTGTCTCTTGTATATGTTTGAAAATACAAATGAGAGAATTCCAAATTTCTACTGTATGCAAGCGTTTTATTGAAAATATTTAAATATTCAAATGTTGAGGGAAAAAATGTAAGGATGGACACCTCAGGTATTATTCAGTAAAATTTTAGAATTTTACAGGCGTTCTGAAAGTTGGTGTCGAATACTCTCAAGTTTTTAAAGACTTAATCTTCTCATCAGAACAAAGAGAAAATGACCTAATATACAAAAATCCACACAAGGTTCTTCCATATTACAACAGATACATCTGATAAATGTGATTTTATAACTAGTGATTTTTTAATTTTTGTACTAACAGTAACTTTCGGAAAAGGACAAATTTATTTTCGAAAGTTTTCTAAATAATGAAAGATTTATATTTATTTAGAGAGAGATGAAGTATCTGTTTTCCATTAAAAGTATTAGACGGCAAAAGAGACTTACCGCTCGGAGTATTTATATCAGCTTATTTTCACAATTCTGATGAGAGGAATGAGTTTTGAAGATGTGATTTGTGATTATAGAAGACATGTGATTGAAAACATCTGTTTTTCAAATGCTTTGTATCTCATATAGAGGTGAAAAAAAGAGATATTAATAGTTATGTCTTGTAACATTATGCTTAAATATCTAATATGTACCAATCTGAGAGAGGGAGAGGGGAAACAATATTATATTATAGTATTTACTATTTTCTTTAAAGACATAAATTAAGAGCATTTATAGATCTATTTATTATAATTCATATATGAATATATAATTAATTTATATCTCATTTTTTCGACCAGGTTTATTTTCTTCTTGACCCATTTTTAAATGTAGTATTTTATTTAAAAAATATTAAAAGTATTAATTTTAAAAGAATTAAAAAAGTATACTAATTGCGTGTATACTGATTCAAGAACTGTTGGTTGCTTTTTTTATTATGTTTATGTATACTTAAAAACTACACACACACACACACACACACACATACATATACATTTATACAATATAATGTTCTCTGCAATTATAGTCATTTGATATAATTATTATAATCTTATGTATTTGTTAAGAAATAATTATAAGCAGTTGTTCATTTATGATAGTTTTTGAACAGCATATATTAATATTAATGTAATACAGTTTATTGTATTCAACAATTAGGAAGAAATAATATTTCATTAGGTATTTCTGGCAGCTATTACTTTTATTTAATTTTTATTTATTACACAATTCTAATGAAGCAGGTATTTTACATATTATAAACCTAGTTTAATTTCTACTAATACTACAGTATAGCTTGTAATATTATTTTTTACAATAAGGCCTAAATTACGTTTTGTAAAAAGGCCTATTTCTGCTTATTACATTTAAAGTTGGTTTTATACAATTATTAAAAGAAAGACTTTCAATCATAATTAATATAATTACCTTCTAAAAAATTCTTTCATCCTTATGGATATTAGCTGCTGTATTCAAAATATGAATAAATAAAACATGTGTTCTTAAAGACTAAAATTTCCAAATATTAAAGCTACCCAAATAAATGTTAACAGTATGCCAAAAAATCTGGTATAAATTTACAGTATATTATTTACACTAATACTCGGGTTCATATTTATGAATTTGTAATTATATTCACGATAATAAGATAGCAATGCGAAATTACAGAAATACAAAATGAATTTACAGTCTATGTGCGTGTAAACACATGAATAGCACCTATCTATCGATCAAACATTCGATCGTTGTTAAGGAGATATAGAGAGATATATATATAAGTGTAGTGATTTTATATAATGGTGTCGCAGTTTTGTCAAATCTAATGCGCCTACTAAAATATGACAGATCATATGGAAAATATAGTGTCACCATGGGAAATCGAGGCTTTCGTGCAAAGTTTAGACATTTCAATTTTGGAAAATATTGGTACAAAAAGGTACTATGCATACATATATATATTATTCAATACATTATCAAACCTGATAAAGATACACAACTATATTCTAGCTGGTTGGAATTCCACAAAAGACTGACATTATTAAACCAGCAAAGCGTACTTGAAGTAACAGGATTGCGCGAAGAGAGTGTTATAGAATGGTTTATTTCACTAAAGAAAGTAAGTTGTTAAATTGAACTACCAAGTGTTGGATAAAGTATATGCACATATAGTGTTGTATAATTTATGTGAACAAGCTCATATGTAATTCTTAAGCAAAATCTATGTTCCATGTCATTTTAATTATGCTATAATTATTTGGTTAGTCTGTTAAGTGCAGAAGAATTAGACTAATATATTTATATAGCTTATTATTTATTTATTAGCTATATAAATATATTAATATATATAATATAACTAATATATTTATATAGCTACAATTAATAAGCTATAGATTGGTTTCCTTTTAGATTCCCGTTCTTATATACGAAGTTATACAAATCGACATATGGAAACACAAAGTATTTCCATTTTTAATTGATCTTAATGGTGAACCTTCAAACACATTCATGCTGTTTAGCGTACTTTATCATGAAGTCGTCGCAGCTTCGTTATTGGAAAATATATTATTTCATTGCGAAAGCGCGCAAACATTGGACGATACGGTAATCGATCTCATCGATTATGCCGTTCAACACGTGACTATGCTTCTCGATGAGAAATCTTTAGAGATCTACGAAAGTCTCCCAATTAAAACAAAGTGAGATTAAACTCAGAATATTATGGGCTAAAATGTATATTCAAACTCATATATATCTATTTTATTTTTAATCCAAAAAATACAGCTAAAATCTACTTTCTTAAATAGCACAGTGTACTCTGCGTTCCATGTAGCATTAAAATGTACTTTAACATTCATGTATAATATTCATTTTTTAGCTCGTGTCTGGAAGAGATATTGGAGAAACTAAAAGTATTTGAGTTTGACATTGGAATGCGATGTATTTCGATTTTACATTATCTAATAGAATTTTTAGATAATCTACCCTTGTGTGCTGTTTCACGTATGTTGGCCATTCACGACATTCCTTACTTGTTCGCACAGTTAATTGAAAATCAACCATGGAGAAAACAAAATGAAAACGGTAATACATCTTCCTTTTACTTGTAATTTCTGTAGGATTTATGTGTAAAGTATGTTAAAATTAACGATAAATAAAGCATGACTAATCTTTGTGTAGGTGAGATACTAACTTATGATGCTAACTGGAAAAAAATTCAAGTAGATGAAGTAGGAAAAATTTGTAAAAGAGAAGGACAAGTGTGGTTTGCTTTGAGAGAATTACTTCTCAATCCTAAATGTTCCCCATATTATGAAATCTCGGAGCACAGATTGTCTCAATTAATGAAAGTATGAAATATCGCTAATTCCAATTAAAACATTTAAACATTTATTCCAATAAACTATAAATAGATAATTGTGTCTAATATTTGTTTGATCTAATGATTATTTATACACTAGCTACAGAAATATCTGCATGAAAATGTATTAGATCAAATAGCTCCTTTGATAGAGCTCAAAAGATGGTTATCCTACTTAAATATATCATCTGCAATACTATCGTCGAACACAACCAAAGCTATTTTTGTCGAAGTTATACCACAGGTATAATAGAATGACTATATCTTACTCTATTTTCAATAGAGTTTATCATGATTTAGATTCCACAAAAATCAATTCGACTGAATTATACAAATTAGTCGAACAATTGAAACAGAAATATTCGAACCTCAAGTTTGACTTTATTGCAGACAGAAAATATATGTAAAAACCTTATTTATTATTTTTATGTTATCTAGCAATATGCAATATGTTGTCTAGCTTTACAAGCCGAATTGTCCAAATTTGTATAACTTAAAATTCGATTTTTGCGGAATCTCGAATTATTTAAGTATCTGAAAAATATAGAAAATTAATATGATCAAACTATGAATAATATGATAAATGTTGAAAATACAGATAAAATTATCAATTCTGGAAAAATACCATAAAAAATGGAGCAAAGTGGCCAGATATCAGTCCAAGTGTTTATATACAATGGATACTAATTACATTAAAGATGCTGCCCAAATTTTAAACGAAGTTTACGATTTGGAAAAATTGGATCGCTTAGAAACAAAAAAATGTGCTTTGTGTCAAGAATTATCTAAAAAGCGATGTTCCAAGTGTAAAGAAGCCTGGTATTGCAGCAGGTACGTAAAAATATTATGAATATATAAAACTACGTTACATCAAATCTTATAAAAAAAAAACAAAAATGACATACTTTTTTCACAGACAATGTCAAGTGAAAGATTGGGAGAATCACAAGAACATTTGCAACATGATAACAAAGACTAAAGAGTGATAATAGGCGAATTTTCAACTTGCACATCATCACAAATATATCTTAAGATAATAGTATATATGTGATGCATTTAACATTATTCTTGTTTTATTTTAAATTATAGCAAAACAGTAATCATACACATCTTCAGAAAGTTCTTAAAATATCGTAATTTCAGGAATGAACATGTATCGTACTTTTGTAAAATTATGTCAAATATTTTATTAAAATGTCTTAATGTACAGAACTTTGTTTAAGATATTCCATTAAGACATCTTTTGCTGGTGTATCTTCCCCAAAATCCTAAAACCAATGAAATTTGTTTACAACTAATAATGCAATAATATAATAAAAGAACATATAATAAAAATACATATTATCAGTAAGGCATAATATATTTCAGCACAATTTGTTTGATTGTACGGGTATACTCAGTAGAGGGAGCCACTAGTATCATCATATATTATTTTTTACAATTCTTTTGAACATATTTTAACCACATGTTTGATCAGAGTAAGTTAAAGTTTAATTTTTGTAAAACTTACCTTAATTACTACACAGGAACAGCCAACAACTTTACGTGCTTTGCCTGCACTGTCAATCTTGCAGAGTCCGGCCCATTCGCCCAACTTTTTGTTATTATCTACCTTTATCAGTGGTATCTGATGTTCATTGCATAATGCTTGAACTAATTTCTTATACATAGGCTCATCACAATTATCTGCCAAAATACAGAGCATAGCTTGTCTTCTGTAATATAATAAGACAATATTAGTACATCTTGTGTTGTGTGTATCTAGTGCACTTAATGTTACTTATTATTTTGTTTTATATATAATCAAGAAGTGTTGTATTGTGCAAAATTTGTCGTATTGTGTATATCTAGTACACTTAATGTTATTTATTATTTTATTTTATATATAATCAAGAAGTCACATGTATGCTAAAATAATGTTTGTCCTAATAAATTTGTTTTTCTTGTGTATTTTTGTCAATACTACAATATTACTTTTCATATTTTTGTATCTTACTTGTCTAAAGCTTTAGCAGCTTCATGGAGGCCATGTACAACACCATCATGTATCAAAGCGTTCTTGAGAACTTCTTGTAAGGCAGTGTTTACGTCCATTGGACCACCAGCTGCCATCGCAGACGGCACATCATCACTGTGAATAAATTTGATTAAAAATAATACTTAGGAATATAACTTAACAAAAAAATATTCTGATTTCGTTTACTACTATCAAAGTATAATCAGTAACAAGTATACATAAACATGATGCAACATTGATAATTTTTTTACTATATTTTTTTCTTTATTCTCAAAGATTTCTTGCAAATTTGTATAGCTTCACATAACCATTTAAATAGCATGATAGAAAATAAATATGCGGCATGTAGAAAATTCTGTACGTACTTTTCAACGTCTGACATTGTAGAAAGCTGTTTAACTGGAAATAATTACAAGTCGTTATTATTCTTGTTGTAAGGATTATATTTTACTGCTATTGCAGGTGAAATAAGTCATGATGATAATGTAATAAGTTGATTTTAACCAATATAACACCTATCGTACTCTCGCTCACCTCTTCATACAGCGAAAAAGAACACGGAACCTTCGAGCATGAATTATTCACAGTTACTTTGTGATGCACTCCTTCCTTCCTTCAATATATAGGTTGTCGCGTCGCATGCCCCAACGTGCCTCTACTCGCTCCAACGCACTCTGATTGGCTCATGTCACCACGCGGACCAATCAGAGTACGTTGGAGCGAGTAGGAGCACGTTGGGGCATGAGACGCGAACAAACCTTATGGCTTCGGGCGGTTAACCCCAACGCCATCTACCAGATTCTTGTAGATTTCACGTGGTTAATTAGATAGTATGTGCTGTATCCTTGAGAATAATGGGTGCTTCCGAAATGTCCAGATTTGGGTCAAGTTGAGTTAGTTCCACTATAGTATCCGTTACATATACTATAGTGGAACTAACTCAACTCAACCCAACTCTGGGTATTTCGGAAGCACCCAATGTTGCACTCGATGTTATGGCTCCTGCACACAGGACGCGGTAATGCTTGCCGCGCGGCGGAAGTCCGTGTCAGCCAATCAATATGTTGTTTTTCCGTAAGAGCTAGAAGGTTATTACGGAAAGCAGTATATTGATTGGCTGTTGCGCGAACTTCCGCCG